GTACAAGCACTGGTCACATCAAAACTTCACGATAAACAAACCCAATTAAACATTCTCTATCTACCCATTCGTCAATGTTCTCCTTATTTGAATGTTCTGTAGTACACCAGTTGGAATGATCTATAATGAAATTCGTGGAATGCCCTACTGTGTCTTTGAAAATAAGACCAGATCTTATACTAATTGTTGCTGCAAAAATGTCTTAGATTGTCAGTCCAGTTTTTGGGGGTGATCCCTGCCGTCCCCCACAAAAATTCTAGAAATAAGCTTGAGAATTAAACATGTATATAGTTACACACATAGACGACATAGAAACATAAAGTACAAAATCTCTAGTCTGCAAACATCACAAAAATTGCTTAAGCAGTTTACATATATATTTAAAGGATGAAATCTGTGGTGTCTGTGGTGAGAGTTGTTCTAAAGTAAACACTGCTCATCCTGTATAAACCATAGCCACAAAAAACCAACCAACCTACTATGGATAAGTCAAAAAGAGAAGCAAGTAAAACCCAGCCAACCAAGATAAGCGAAGGCTCTTCAAATAGAAGAAGTATGACACGGTGTGGAGAAAGCCGTAAGTTATATTGGAACCCACAGGGGCATAGGAATAAAGGAAGGCCAGAAAACACATGGAGAAGAAAGCTGGAGAATGAAGTTAGAAAGATGGGGAGGAAGTGGGGAGAGCTGCCCGCAATGGCGAACGATAGAACAACTTGGCGTGAGTTGGTTGAGGGCCTATACTCCATTGGGGGATAGAAAGGCAGAAGAAGAAGAAGAAACACTGCTTTATAAGCGTTGCCATCTCTGGCAAATGTTTTTCTGAATAACCATAGGAAAGTCCAAAAAGATACATCCTTGCTAGAAAAATCATCCAAGAAAAGCAAACTGGATAAGTTCACTTAGTAATTAAAATTTACAGAGTATAATGTGATTTCATTATGGGATATACTGCAGGTAAAAAATGTAAGTAATTTCTGTTGTACTTTTTTTATAGGGGTACATACATTGGTCGTATCTGGGAACATACAAGACATGAGAGGCAGGGGAAGGCGTGGGGAAGGGAGGGGGTACAGATACACGCCATATCCGGAAACATACCAGATATGAGAGGTAGGGAAGGCGTGGTTGGGGGGTGGAGTGGGGGGGGGGAAGTGTACAGGCACTCGTCGTATCTGGGAACATACCAGACATGAGAGGTAGGGGAAGGCGTAGGTGAGGGGTGGGGGGGGGGAGACACTCGTCGTATCTGGGAACATACCAGACATGAGAAGGTAGGGAAAGGCGTGGGTGAGAGGTGGAGGGGGGGAGTGTACAGACACTCGTCGTATCTGGGAACATACCAGACATGAGAGGTAGGGGAAGGCGTAGGTGAGGGGTGGGGGGAGGGAGACACTCGTAGTATCTGGGAACATACCAGACATGAGAGGTAGGGGAAGGCGTGATGGGGAATGCAGTAATAATTTTGAGACGAGACGAGCAGGCGATGCGAATAGATGAAAGGATCAGGGCTGCTTAAGTTGGTACTCGCGTATAAATGAGATACAATTAGACCCTCTGCCTACCCAAAAGCATGTCGTAAGAGTCGACTAATTGGGTAGCTTCCTTTGAAGTCGAAGTGCATCTGCCTGAGAGGCAAGAAACCAACAGTCTGCATTCAAGTGAATCAGATCTGTAAAATTGATGCACACGCAACACTCAGGTTCTGGAGCAGGACTGCAGTTCAGAAGTGGACGAACAACCAGAACTTTCCACCAGAGTGTGCAGCTGGTGAACGCGAAGAAGAAGAAGAATTTGTCCCTTCGTTAGCAAAAGAGTATTCGCTTCGTGAGCAAAACTGTACCTTTTTACCCCGCCGGATGTTTTGTTTGTTTTAGAAATTTTGCATCCATATTTTGAAATCTGGTCGTGTGTTAATTCTTAAAAAAGTTTTTTACAATTTCAGAAGAAAAAAGTGGAGATAAAAATTGCTTTCTACCCAAATTTATGTTTAGTCTTTTGGCATGACCTCATTCCTCTGCAGCCCCAGAATGTTTTTCTTCAAAAATCTCTGCTCAACAATATTAAGAAACAAAATTGCTCTGCTCTGAAGACTTAAACAATAAATACGTTGATGAGCACAGTGTTTGCTACGGATGCTAATGGAAACTACCACAACAGCATTGTAACAAACGAGCGGGAAAAAACAATAATACAGCAATGATGTAATGGACAACGGATTTAAATTCGATCAAACATAAGGTAAGCCATATATTACACACAAACACACACACACAAACACACACACACACACACACACACACACACACACACATATATATATGCATGGACTTGCTTATGTATGTTCAGAGAGGTTTTAACGTTTTTAAAAAAAAAACTTTGGTACCTTTTGGTATTTTAGTACCTTTTGGTATTTTAGAACCTTTTGGTATTTTAGTACCTTTTGATGTTTTAGTACCTTTTGGTGTTTTAGTACCTTTTAGTGTTTTAGTACCTTTTGGTGTTTTAGTACCTTTTGGTGTTTCAGTACCTATTGGTATTTTAGTACCTTTTGGTATTTTAGTACCTTTTGGTGTTTTAAGTACCTTTTGGTGTTTTAAGTACCTTTTGGGGCTTTAGTACCTTTTGGTGTTTCAGTACCTTTTGGTGTTTTAGTACCTTCTGGTGTTTTAGTACCTTTTGGTATTTTAGTACCTTTTGGTGTTTTAGTACCTTTTGGTGTTTTAGTACCTTGTGGTATTTTAGTACCTTTTGGTGTTTTAGTACCTTCTGGTGTTTTAGTACCTTTTGGTATTTTAGTACCTTTTGGTGTTTTAGTACCTTTTGGTGTTTTAGTACCTTTTGGTGTTTTAGTACCTTTTGGTGTTTCAGTACCTTTTGGTGTTTTAGTACCTTTTGGTATTTTAGTACCTTTTGGTGTTTTAAGTACCTTTTGGTGATTTAGTACCTTTTGGGGCTTTAGTACCTTTTGGTGTTTTAGTACCTTTTGGTGTTTTAGTACCTTTTGGTGTTTTAGTACTGATACGTGCGGTCCTTCATTGTGACGTGCAGAGCTTCATGCTGATGTGTGTGGTACCAAGATGAAATAGGCCAAGTAGGGGTAAAACAGTAGTTACTTCAATGCTTTCAAAATGTAGAGCTCGAACGCTATGCGTTAAGTTCCAACGGTTGTATTGATATATACAATCAGCAATGATTAACACAAAGGATACATATGCAAGTAATAATCAACTCGTTCAACCAAAGCTCGCTCGTACATCCATGTAATGATATGTCCTCACGATAGGTCGCAGTCCGACCTTGAGATCCAGACGATTTACTTTCTCCTCGGACAAGTCCGAATTAAGCAATGAAAGTATACCGGCTTACTGTCGAGAATGTAGTATTAACCAGCTTCCTGCTGAGGTCTATCTTGGAATCCCGGGGTAAAACGTCCTCAAGGATCCAACTTTATATAACGTTTGCTTCCGTGGGATCCCGGGGTAAAGCGTCCTCAAGGATTCCCACGTCCGTCTCCTTCGGACTATAAACATCAACTGCTTTGACAACAATATTATCATAACAACGTTACGTATTGTTTTGACGTCTTATTTGCTCACTCCGTACCGGTGCGTTCTGGTGCACATTCGCACGCGACAGCTTTTCCCCCCTCCCGAGGACGACCGAGCACTAGGACTTGACGTAGTCTCGGTCGGAAAACTGGAGTCATGTCGCGGCAAACAGCACCAGTACGTGAGAGCAAATAAGAACACTTGAATACTCACACACTCACTCCTCAATATATCGTCAATACATTACTAAAATGCATGCAAAATATAGATTCCTGACTTCACTAAGCATTATTATCAACAACATTATCGTTATCCAAATTATTTTCATAACAGCATGCATTTTAAATATCATGTAAATTCAACAATAAACATCAATCCTATTCCAATGCCTCTGGAGTGCGCGACAAAAAATCGGCTAAGACATTTTCTTTCCCTGGGCGATAAATAACTGTGAAGTTGAACGTCTGTAGAAAACATTGTCCATCTTAAAGTATGCGTGAGTTTTTGATGGGTGCTGAGTTCAAGACTTCGAGTGGACGATGGTCTGTCAAGATAAAGAAGTGACTGCCATACAGGAATTGGGTAAAACTTCCCTACTGCCCAAAAAATGGCTAGTGCCTCCTCTCGCCCACGCTGTAACGGCATTTCAGTAGGAGACAGCTTCCTGCTGGCATAAACAACAGGGAGTAGGGTGCCCTCTCTGGATTGCTCATCAACGTCCCACCAATCGCAACATCAGACGCATCTGTGGATACATAAAACGGCAGAGACAAATCTGGCAAACACAAGAATGGATTACTATTAAATGCCTTTTGTAATCTCTGGAGCGCGTCCTCGCACTCTCTCGTCCAGATAACCTTCGCTGGCATTCCTTTCATCGTCAATGAGGACAACACGGCTGTAATGGTTGAATAGTTAGGAATGAATTTAGCATAAAAGTTACATAAACCCAATAACGCACGCACTTGTTTCTTCGTTTTTGGTATAGGGATGTTAAGAATCTTACCCACCGTGGTGGCTTCGGGTTTACGGACCCCGTGTCCTACAACGTGACCGAGGAACGTGACCTCCTCGAAAGCGACCTTCACTTTAGTTGGTCTAACTGTCAGATTAAAAACGATTTTATGCGTTCCAGTAATGTCTTTAGACCTCGAATATGTTCGTCTAAATCATTATGGAAAAGCAGAATGTCATCCAGATAATGAATAACATCATTACGACCCTGTAACAACTTGCGTACGAGGCGGGTGAACGTCGCCGCTGCTCCCGAAAGCCCGAAGACCATATAGTTGAAGTGAACCAAACCTTTGTTCGTCTGAAACGCGGTGTATTTTTTGGAATCCTCGGCTAAGGGAATCTGCCAATAACCCTTAGTAAGATCTAACTTTGTAAAATACGTAGCCTTCGACAATGCAACAAACATATCTTCCATATTTTGGGATATTTTCA